GGAGGGAACGAGGAGGAGTGAGGAGCGGCGCGCTGCCGCCCCTCGACGCAGGGAATGCAGGGCGGTGCAGGCGAGGGAGGGAGGGGAGGCAGAGACCTGGGAAGCCCAGAAACCAGGAGGCGGGAGTGCATGCTGCGTAGGCGAGGCAGGGAGGGGTGACCAAGGCGGTGGTGCCACAGGAGAGTGTCGTGCGACAGCCGGCGACACTCACACTGTGTAGCTACCTGAGCAGACGCGTGCAACTGGGGAGACAAAGGGGCGGAGCGTGACGCAGTGGTGAGGGTGTACAGACTGGACCCCGGCGCACGAGCGAACGTGGCCAAGTGGCGACCAGTCTGGGAGCACGTGAAAATCGCCACACGCTGCCGGCCAGGGGTGAAGGTGTCAACCCCCGCATCCTGGAGGACAGCGTTACTCACCAAGTTCGTAGAGAACGAGGGGAGGTGGAGACCAGACAGCTCACCAGACGGGACCGCCGGACACGGAAGCACAGTGGAAGACCGTGCAAGCACTGGGCCCCTAGAGGGGTCAGCCAGTGAGACAGGAACAGGTGCAGGGAGGGGAGTGACTGTGGTACTGTCGCGAAAGAAACAGCGAGAAGCACCAGAGTCAAGTGTAAAGGTGTGCAAAGCCTGTGCAGGCGCAGTACCAAGGGGAGCAGACTCACAAGCACCTAGTGCTGCAGGGGCTATACCAGGGGTTATACCAGGATCCGGCGGCACACACAAGTAGCAGTCACCCTCAGAACTAACAGACAAGGCATACATAGCAGCAAGAATTGCCTCATAGTCAAGATCAAAGATAGGTACATCACGCCTAAGCAAGTCTGCCCAGTTGGGGAACTCAGTAGCATCAGGAAACTTGGCGCGCCAGGCGTCGCTAAGCCGAGCGAAGCAGTGCTGCTCAGTGTGAAAACCTGTGCACTGGCGACCAGCGCGGGGACCTGTGCGGATGATATAGGGGCAGCGACCAGGACCCCCAGAAGCCCCACGCCCGGCATACCAGTCAAGAAGCTGCTGGGAAGTGGGGGTCTGGCGCTGACGCTGATGCTGCTGCTGCGGCTGCTGCTGGCCCTGACCACCACTGCCACCACCGCTCCCTCCTCGCCCACCTCCGCTGCTGCCGCCTCCACCGCTCCCAGTGCCTCCGCCGCCCCCACCACCACCTCCACCGCCTCCACCCCCACGACCACCCCCACCACCGCCTCCACCTCCACCACCTCCACCACCTCCACCACCTCCACCCCCACCGCCCCTGCCACCCCTGCCGCCCCTGCCGCTACGACGCTTCCCACTGGGAGCGGAAGCAGCTCCGACCCCCTCAGCACCAAGGTAGTCGTGAACAGCAGCTGCGGAGGCGTAGGAGGGGGTGAGAGGGGAGGGGGAGCACCCCTCAAAGAGGGGAGAGCGAGGAGTGCCACGAGCAGCACCTACAGCGAGGATGTTCTTCTCTGCTGCGAGGAGGTGCTTCTCGAAGTCGTCTACAGTGAGAGTGGTGGGGTCTAGCGCTAGGAAGTGGTCCCTGACAGAGCTAAGAGTGTCAGGGAGGCGGGTGATGAGGAAATAGAGAGTGAAGTACATCGGGGGGGGCTTTTGCGGCGCAGAACTCGGTTGAAAGGGCGGCACGAAAGCGAGAGTCAGTAGCGCGCAGGTGAGAAACTAGGTCCTCAGCAGTGGTGAACGAGGAAAGATCGGGGAACAGGTACGGTAGCATGAGTCGACCTATGGCTGCAGTGGCCGGGGAGGAGTAGCGCGCAACTACAGCGTCGTACAGTGTCTGAGCAAATCTGTGCTGGCTGAAATGCGCTCGCTCAGTAATCGGCAGGTGGTTCCTAATAGCTAGACGTGCAGCAGCATCACGAGTCTGCCACTGGGAGCGTTCTAGAGTAGGAGCATCAGCAGTAGGAGCAACAGCAGAGCCAGAGACGTAATCAAACAAGGAAACACCATCTTTGGCATCAGTCAGAAGGAACAGTTGGAGATCGTCTAACCATACACTGAACTCGATGGGACGACCGTCAGGCTCGAACGCTAGAACGTTAGGCGTCGCCATATTGGCTTAAGGCAGGAGGTAGCAGGCAGCAGGCAGCAGGCAGAGGCAGCAGGCACCAAGTAGGAGGCAGGAGGCAGAGGCAGGAGGCAGGGGCAGCAAGCAGCAGGCAGAGGCAGCAGGCACCAAGTAGGAGGCAGGAGGCAGAGGCAGGAGGCAGGGGCAGCAAGCAGCAAGTAGGAGGCAGGAGGCAGAGGCAGGAGGCAGGGGCAGCAAGCAGCAAGTAGGAGGCAGGAGGCAGAGGCAGGAGGCAGGGGCAGCAAGCAGCAGGCAGAGGCAGCAGGCACCAAGTAGGAGGCAGGAGGCAGAGGCAGGAGGCAGGGGCAGCAAGCAGGAGGCAGGCAGGAGGCAAGCTGCAGGCAGGGGGCAGCAGGCAGCAAGTAGGAGGCAGGAGGCAGAGGCAGGAGGCAGGGGCAGCAAGCAGGAAGTAGGAGGCAGGAGGCAGAGGCAGGAGGCAGGGGCAGCAAGCAGCAGGCAGAGGCAGCAAGCACCAAGTAGGAGGTAGGAGGCAGAGGCAGGAGGCAGGGGCAGCAAGCAGGAGGCAGGCAGGAGGCAAGCTGCAGGCAGGCGGCAGCAGGCAGCAAGCAGGCAGGCAGGCAGGCGGCAGGCAGGCAGCAGCAAGCAGCAAGCAGGCAGGCGAGAGCAGGCAGCAAGTAGCAGGCAGGCAGCAGGTAGGCAGCAGGCAGGTTGCAGACAGGCGGCAGTAGGCAGCAAGTAGGCAGGCAGGTAGGCTGCAGGCAGTAAGCAGGCAGGCTGCAGAAGGCAGGCAGGCTGCAGGCAGCAAGCAGGCAGGCAGGCAGGCTGCAGGCAGTAGGCAGGCAGGCGGCAGCAGGCAGGCAGAAGGCAGGCTGCAGACAGGCGGCAGGCAGGCGGCAAGCAGGCAGGCAGGCAGGCTGTAGGCAGCAAGCAGCAGGCAGGCAGCAGGCAGGCAGCAGGCAGGCTGCAGGCAGTAGGCAGGCGGCAGGCAGGAGCGGCAGGCAGCAGGCAGCAGGCAGGCGGCAGGCAGCAGGCAGGAGCGGCAGGCAGCAGGCAGCAGGCAGGAGCGGCCTGAGGGCTGCGTGTGGCGGCTTGCTGCACGAGGCTGCAGGCTGCGCGTGGCTACGGGCAGCGCGCGCGGCCGCAGGCTACGCGCGGCGACTGATTGCACGAGTTGCGGGCTGCTTGCAGCTGCGCGCTGTGCGTGGCTACAGCGTGCGCGGCTGCATTCTACGTGCGGTTTCGGGCTGCGCTGGGCGCTACGCTACGGGCTACGGGCCGCACGTGCGCGGCTGCGGGCTGGTCGCTACGCTACGGGCTACGCTGGGCGACGGGCCGCTCTGGCGTGGCCTAAACAGGTTTCGCACGGGCGGCTTAAGGGGCGCACAGGCGGGGCCGAAACGGGCTACGCGGGCTGCTAAAACGGCGCACGTGGGAAAAAAAAAAAGGACCGCCCGAGGCGCACGCGGGCAGCCGAGGCGCGCGTAGGCACTAGGTACGACAGGTGATCGTGGTGGGCCCTAATCGTAGGTCCTAAGGACCTATGCTCTATACCATATTACAATCTTACGGAAAAGTGTGTGTCGACTATCGAGGGAAAAGATACAAAGGAGAAACCAAAGGGGTTGTACCCTACAGTGAGTACCCCACTAAGCCTAACCAAACTATAACAAATATACACATATGTTTGACACAGTTATTCCTACAAACTGCGATCAGTGAAAACCAGAGCGGAGAAGACATATAATTATCGACCAATTTGAAAAAATGGAAACACATACCCGTGTTGCAATAAAAAATGATAATAACGGTGCAGGCGTCACGCTCGCATTGCCGGTAGAAGTTGCAGCGGTTGATGTAGCGGAGGCGTCCCGTCATGTCCGTGGCGTTTTCGCCTTGTCACACCACAAGTTTTTGCAGACGCGCCCTTGCCATCTCGTCAGGCTCGACTGTGGCGATATCGTCATCCGTCGCGTTGGTGGCGATTTCGTTGGCAGTCTCGCTGGTGGCAATCTCGTCAGGCAATTTCGTCGCCAGGCGCGCCACTGGCGGTTTCGTCGTCAGGCGCGCCAGTTGCGCTTTTGTCGTCAGGCGTGCCTATGGCGATTTCGTCTCAGGGGAGCTGGCGATTTCGTCTCAGGGGAGCTGGCGATTTCGTCTCAGGGGAGCTGGCGATTTTGTCTCAAGCGCACCACAGGCGATTTCGTCTTAGGCGCACCATTGGCGATTTCGTCTCAGGCGCGCCCGAGGCGATTTCGTCACCGGCGCGCCTGAGGCGATTTTGTCACTTAGTCCGGGCCCGCTGGGTCACGCGCGCCCACTGACAGAAGGTACAGCTGTGGGCGCGTATAAGCCCTCTCCTAAAATCGGCGTTCTGGTGCAAAGCGCCATCGCCTTCTATAAAAAGTAGAGCTATGAATGAGAAATTTGAACGAGAGTGCTAGGAGAAAGTGGAACGACGAGGTGGTTGGACGAGAATGGAACTGCAAAGTTCCGAAATGAAGACGTGGGTGGAGGCCAAAAGGCCTCCAACCCTCGTTATGTACTCGGCGAATAGTAATTCGCCGTTGCCTTGCTTCGCTTTCACAATACACATTTTTAGAAAGTGTTACACACTTTCAAAAAAATTCATTTTGTCTGATTTTCATTAAAAGTACCAACTCTTATTTTTCAACCTTCGCCAAAACGAATCTGAGGGCCTTCCTGCTCGTTGGATCATTAGTCTGATGATAACGGATGCAACAATTGTACCACAAATTGTGTCACTGCTTGCTAACAGTATGGGCTGCTCATGCAAAACCAATGAGCTGTGTAGAGAGATGCTTCCCTTCCCAGCCAGTCATCATCTTCAGCTAGAATCACGAAATTATTTATTAGATTGGCAAGCACAGCAGCACACTAGCTCGTGTCCAAACCAAAGACAGGTTACCGGTAGCAGTGTCCCCTCCCTCATCCTTGAGACTCGGCCTAGTCTTCTATGTATGCTTCAAAGCGTCACTGCCACCTGTGGAGCCGAACCCTCCAGCACCCCGTGTGGTCTCATCCAGCTCTTCCACCTCCACAACATCAGGAGTCATTATTCGCTCTAGGATCAGCTGTGCAACTCTGTCGCCGACCTTCACAGGGAAGTCGTTGTCAGAATGATTGAAGAGAATCACTCCCACATTTCCTCGGTAATCGTAATCAACCACGCCGCCTCCCACGTTGATGGAATGCTTCAGGGCGAGGCCAGAGCGAGGAGCTGAGATGGCACGATATGGATCACAGAATGAAGCAACGAAGAAAATGTATCAAAGGATATGCCTCAGAAATTTCTGTACTACAGGAACAACTTTCGCGTTGAACTATTATGACAAGGCGTCGAGTGTTTAGGTACAGCATGAGAGATGTTTCAGGATTCGAGGAGAAAGGAAACGAAAGGAGCGAAAATGGGACTCACCCACTCGAGCGTAAGTCCCCAGGGGAATGGCGACTGCGAGGTCAGTCTTGACGAGTGCTTGCCCTCTTGCAGGCACGGTGATGTCATGTGCACTGAAATATGACAAGAATGCGATAAGCACGAGGCGGGATATTGAAATTAGCCCGAATTATCGAGGTCAACAGTACTCAAGCCGGTTACTTGGCTCCCTGTAATCGCGGCTAGAATCTGATTCGCGTACCTTGAAATATCGTAACCGGCAGCACTCGCCGACCCTCGTTTGGGAAGAACAGCAGTCTCTGACAGCTTCTTCACACGGAGAGACATTTCTGGGTCTACCTTCATCTTCTTCAACGGCGATTCTTCTGGAGCTTGATTGCCATCTGTCTGCGGTTCTTCTGACGCCGTACCATCTTTCGTGGTTTGCTGATCTGGAGCAATGGTCTCCTTTGATTTCGGCTCTTCTGATGCCATGAGGGCACTGCTAAATCTGAAATGACACCGAATGTGCTGTACACCCCGCGTGGACACTTCGCCTCGTACAAGAGGAACGGAGTGGGAAACCAAACAAGAGGCCGATGGATTGGCAACAAGGTGCCTGCCTAGGAGACAACCAAGGTTATGTCGGAGAATGGAGAAAACCATCTGTTGTTGGCTAAAATGGAACAGCAAAGAAGCAGAGCAGAGAAAAGAAGCTGACGCTGAAGCTAGTGCACAAACACCCATGGCAGGTGTTGAGGGCGCATGCGAAATGGCGAGTTGCATCCCGACGGCGACCTCCTGGAGACACCAGCAGAAGAAATGTCCCACATGAGCATTCGTTTCCCCTCGGAACGCCTTGTTGTTTGAAGAATCTCTGTTTTGTACAGGCCCCTAGTACCGGGGCACCGCGTCGCCTTAGCAACTCAAAAGGAGATTTCAAAATTTGAAAGCCGGAAACCCTGTTCTAGAGAACGGTCAGACGACTTCATAAAATATTACATTGTTTAATCATATGTACTTCACAAAAAGTGTAGTCACTTCATTTAAGTGAAACAACAGGGCCTTTTCTAAAAAGAGCAATTCCACCCAACTCTGGCGCTTGAGCCTTGGCTTGCTTTGCCTCCTTTCCCCTTTCTCCCTTCTTTCGTCTCTTCCCCTCCTTTCCCTCCTGGCCTTTCAGTCCAACTCCCTCGGTCGTCTCCCCGTTTTTTTCCTCACTTTTCCCCTCTATCTTCCCCATTTTTTTCTTACGCTTCTTCGCACCCTTTGTTTCACCACCACCCCCCCCACTACCACTGCCACCATCACTGTTACCATTGACTGCATCCTCTGCTCCCCCTTCCCCTCCCCCTTCTTCCCCTACTCCTTTCTCTGCAGCAGCTACAGTCATCTCCAGTAGCCTGTCCAGATGCTGATGCAGCATATCCTGGGCCTGGAGGAATCAAGAAATCAAATAAAAAAGGAAGGGATCGGAATAGGCAGGAGGAGCAAGAGAAAAAAAGGTGTCTGTCTTCAGCAGCCTGTACAAATGGTATCCTGGCCTGGAGGTAAAATCAAATTAGTTAAAGATAAGGATACATGGACAGAGGGAGATAAGTGTCATATCAAGTGAAGGAATGCAGGTGACGTAGACAAGAAAAGAAAGGGAGCACGATCGGAGCACACATAATTACCAATAAGCAAACAGAATGGCTTGAGACAGATCGGAGCGAGGGATGGAAACATGTGCCAAAATAGAATGGGCATGGGAGAGAAATGGAGGGCACAATCCAAATCCACATGGTAAACAGTAAGCTAAGGGATCAGATTGAGAAAGATGACAGGAGAGTGGGGGAGGAAATCAGCAGGGTTTCTCCTATCCAATACGCTCGTTCCGGACTCACCAGTACACAATACTCACCCGAATCTGATAGTGTTTCAGCTTCAGGTCTTTCGCCTTATCTCCTCCACCTCTCCCCTCCCCATCCTCCCCTCCCTCCTCCTCCCCTTCTTCCTCGCTCTCACTCCCCTCCTCCTCCCCGTCTGGCTGTATACCCATCTTCCTCAGCCGTCTCCTTTCCTTGCTCGCCAGGGTTGATTGAAGCCCTCTATTCGCCTTGCGCTTGTGCCTGCCACACAGCAAGCATGGTCACACAGACACAAGCATGGTCACACAGACACAAGCATGGTCACACAGACACAAGCATGGTCACACAGACACAGCTGAACACAGTCATCCCGACAGGGACCTTCAAGATTTCATGTTTATCCAACCAACTGCGACTCAACGATGCGCCTGCCTGAAATCCTAATCCTGCAAACCCACCCTCGCAGGGAGTTCAGAGCGGTTGCAGAAACCTAATAATGTGCAACCCTTCAACACAGAGAACCTCAAGGCTGTGCGCCTCTACCCTGAACCCTAACCCCAAAACTTAATATATTCAGGGTCTCACCTGAAAGTAGTAGGAGCAGCAGCAGCGCCCATGATATGCGTCCCTTAAACCACGACAGAGCTGATCGCTGCCTGTCTCTTCGCCTATCCCAAACCCTCATCTACTCAGGGTCTCACCTGAACGTGGTAGGAGTGGCCGCAGCGCCCATGATATGCGTCCCTTCAACCACGACAGAGCTGATCGCGGCTCGCCTCTTCGCCTCCTCCTCGTCCTCGCTCGAACTGTCTGCTGCTGCATTAGACACTTCCGCCACACCCGATGCTTTAACCCCAACCGACGGCTTGTCACCAGAAGACGCTTTAACCCCAACCCCAATGGACCGTTCCGCTACATTAGATGCTAGCTCCGCATCGGAACCTGAGAGATCCGCATTCCCGCATGCTACTCCACCACTTCGGCTCTCGCGTTTCGCACGCTTTTCCGCTCGTCGCTCCTCTTTTTCCTGGCGTTCCCTCTCGCGTTTCTCCTCCTTCTCCCTCCGCTTCTTCCCGCGACTCTCCTCCTTTCCTCGCTCCTTCGCTCGCGAAAACGTCACGCTATCAAGCTCGCCGCCCTGCGTCCTCTCCTGTCCAACCATCTGCTCGAAATACCGCAATTTTCCCAGGCCTTTTCGCTCGGACACCCCCTTATCCATATCCGACGCATCCACGTCAGCGATACGCCTATCTACGTCATCATCCAGACTCTCAGTGTCACTTCCGCGCGCGTTTTTTCGAGGAGGCGCGGGTTTCCCGGGGTAGTGTGCTCCTGGAAACAACCATCGGGAGCACTTTGGCTTTTTCTTCTTCTTTTTCCCGCCAACTGGCGGGATGTACTTCAGTCCTAGAGTTTTCGCCTCGATTCTCGCCTGCTCCTCTGCGTTAATAAGGACTTCGCGCTTTTTGAAATTCTTGCCTGAGAACTTCCCTCTCCGCGGCTTTTGCTTGATTAACTTCCGCACTACCATGACCGCATTTAGGCTACAGACAACTGTCGTTGTATCGAGGGCCGCATGAACACGTTGTATATAGCGTTGCGAAGATCACCCGCTTAGAAGAGTGATGAAAGAGCACTGAAGGATTATTGTCAAGAGACGAGTAAGAGCGTGCTTCCAAAAATGACCATCTTTGTTCAACAAATAGGGTTACGACGTAATTATATCCCCCAGGCAGCGATTCCTGGGAGGGGCTCGCTTGTCCGTTGAGATTTACAAGCTAGAAAGCGTGTAACGTCGTAAAAATGTGTAACGTTTTCGTCAACTTCGTCTACTATTCGGTCAGCTTAACATTATCTGCACCCAACACTAGCCAAACCACTCAATTCTTCAGCCCATCCCCAGCACTTCTCATCCCTCTTCGATCCTCCTTCCTTTCTTTCAGAAGTGCCACTGAGTTCTTACTTCTTTCAGACCAACCTATTTTCCAGGAATTTCGTTCCAGCCACCTGATCTCGTCCCATCGTCTAATCACCTTCATAGCTATTTTGCTGGTTACACTCGACCTTGCTAGCGAAGCGAGTAAAGGTGAGCACACCGTCCATTTTCGCAAAGTCCCTTCACTTGCTGGTGACTTGCGTAGGAGTAACCGACGCGTTACATTCTCCTAACATTGTTCTTGTAAAAAGGAGCGCCTGCAAGCTACTTTCACTTTTTTTCTCGAAAGAAGTCCTTTGTCGAAGCTTGATGTTTTGTCTATGCTGTCTATGCTGTCAATGCTCGTGCGTTGTCTATCCTCTTCCCCGTTGTACCCGGAACCAGTCAACTCAATTACTGATTTTCCTTCCTAATTTTCCTTTTCTTTCAGCGGCTGTTAATTAGAAACAGAAACTTTGCTGGAAACGGCAGGGTTCAACCATGAATGTGGATGAGGAGATTGAGAAGCTCAAGGAGGAGATCACAAAGCTGGGGGAGAAGCAGGCAGATGGTTCCGTCAAGGTGCGTCTTATGGATCCATTCCCACCTAGACGTTTGTGTATGCACCTTCAAGGATTGCATTCGGTGCCACACTTTCTTTATTGCATCATCATGTGGAGGTTAGCATTTTCTGTGTTAGCATGTTGGTGAAAGATCCGTCCTTGCATGTGGATTTGTCAATTGCATGCATCACAGAAGGAATTTTGGGTGTTCCAGCATGTATGTATGTGTGGGTCAGGGCCCAAATTATCAGGGTAAAATACCCTGTTTGCCCTGATGGGCGGCCGTTTTTTCCCAGTTACCCTTTTCAAAACAGGGTATCAAACTTTTTACCCTAGAGCAAAAAGACTAAGTTTCGGTATACACTGATTTTGGTTGCCCTGCTGGTGTCAGGGTACACTGTACATTTCACTGATACCGAATCCTCCGTTGCGAGCTTTTTCCTTTCGATGCCGCGAAACATTGAGATGGCGCCAGGATTCAAACTTGCGTTCCTACAATACCTAGCCTAACATCTAACCAGCTGAGACACAACCTGTTGACATTACACTACTAAAAACTTCAAGTCAGGGGATCAGAATTTTTACACTGTCATAATCAGTGTACAAGTTTTTTTAGGCTGTTTTTGGCAGGGTATGAAAATTTCTACCCTATGAGGCAGGGTAGAGCTGGCCTGAAACCTTGATTAGTCAGGGTGGGCCAAAACCAATTTTGGGCCCTGGTGTGGGTGGGTGCGTGTGTGCATGGGTGCGTGCGCGTGCCGACTGCTGCGTAAACCTAAATTGGAAGCCATTTTCCGTGGCCACACATGACGCATCACCTCATTATCTAACTTATGTTACACATGACTGTGGTTCATCACTCTCCCAACAACTAGCTGCCTCTGGTTTACCCCCAACCGTTATTACCTCCATTCGTCGTACCTCATCTTTCTTCGTCCTTAACTGTGGGTTTTGCCAGGTGACGTTCGGCAAGCTATTTGACGAAACAGGAGACATATTTGAAGCGCTTGGAGGAACTCTACGTGCTGCAAAGAAGCGGAAGATAATATATTTTGCTGCGGAGATGCTGCTGCAAGGCCGAGATAACAATGTAGACATCATACTACTACCACAATGACCATATGGAGAAGAGAATATAATGCACCTATATTATGGCATCTGATGGTGATAATAAATGAAGCTGTCCGTAGATCTAGCAAGCAGCAAGCAGTCGTAGATAGGGCATCAGCTCAGCTAGGATGTGTAACTGAATATGTTTTAGACCGCATCACACATGTTACAATGTTAATGTTCATTGCATTGTCCCAAAGAATCAGAACCCAAGGTCCAAAGGCTTCAAAGGTGGTAAGATTGGTTGGGCTAGATGAAGCCTAGGTGTGAAACAGGGTGGCGTCTAAATCTCTGAAGTGGGTCGCAGAATGAAATATTACCTATATCTCCGAAGTTACCCGATCTGGGATGCAACTCAGGGAATCCTTCGCACTACGCTTGGTGGGCAAATGAAGGGATTTCTTGGGATGTTTCGCACACCAATCTCCTTCCCCATTGCAGAAATTTAGAGAGAGTTCGAAATTGTGAGCTTATCAACTGGGTGGTTGATGTTGGGCTGAGAAAGCCCTTAGGATCTTTGCAGGGCAGAACTCAAGGGTAGGATGATGTAATAGCGGAAGCGTTTAATGAATGATTGTGAACCACCTTGCGCTTGTATGTGAGGGCAAAGTAAGTTGATAATAATAAAAGAGATACAAGCTTTTATAAGAATACAAAGGAATATGAAGAGATACAATAACTGTTTTACTGTTGCTGTTGCGGTTCGATACAGTGTCGACTCGGGCAACTGCTCAGTATCGAGACAGTTGTTTGTCCTTGCTGTCGCGCTGCATTTGTCAGGTCAAAGGTCGCTGACCTTTGACTTTCGCGTAACCTCCAACAGTTATTCAACCTCTGAGGGTTGACTCACCGATATTTCGATACGAGCTGCTTCGCTTCTGTCTTGGTGTTTTGACACGACAGAGGCGCCTAAATCAGTTGTTTCCAACACTCCCCTTCGCTTTTGGAGTGTCGCTGCAGGTGACGTGGCTCTGTCCAGTCAGCAGCATGCAATATTCGAACTTCGACTTTCCGAGTTTCTTGGTCAAGTAATCAGCTGCCATCTCGGATGTGGGGCAGTAAGACAGCTCAAGTCTCCCCTTCTCGATCTCGTCCTTTACGAAGAAATATCGCAGGGCGATATGCTTCGTCCTGTTCGCAAATCCATTTTTGTTGGCTATGCGAATTGCCGACTGGTTGTCGCAAAATAGGGAGAAGCTGAGTTCGCGAAGGTAGAGTCCTTCCTTGGTGACTGAGCAAAGTGCGATATATTCAGCTTCAGCTGAGGAAAGGGCGATTAATTCCTGTTTGCTCGACTGCCACGAAATAGGTCCGATAGGCTCGAGACGGTAGATGTAGCCTGTGCGCGAGCGCCTGTTGTCATAATCTCCGGCGTGATCGGTGTCGACGTAGCCGATTAGCTTGGGCGTTGTAGCTATATTCCTGTAGTAGATTAGGCCGATCGTCGGGGTGCTTACGAGGTAGTGTAAAGCCCGATCGAGCTCCTTCATGTGTTCGTCTTCAGGTCTTTTAAGGTAGGTGGCGAGTTGACTTGCTGAGTATGATAGGTCTGGACGACAGGTGACGGCCGTGAAGAGAAGGCATCCTAGCTTTCTCTGGTAGTTGCGTATGTCGGCGGGTTTCAGTGGAGCAGATTCTGCATTGTCATTTCCTGCCGTGTAGCGGTATGGCGT